AAAGGGCAGAAAGGCAAAAATGAAAACAAAACCAAGCCTTCAAAACAAAGACAACTCCAGGCCCAGATAATTTTACTGGTATATTTTAATAAACATTTAAGGAAGATTAAAATGCTGATGCCACACTATTTCTTCCAGTAAGTGAAGAGGCATGACTACTTCTTATCTCATTTTATGAGGCCTGCATTACTCTGACACCAAAACCAGAGAAAGACATTAAAGAGAACCACATATCTATCTTGTGAATAGGGACACTAAAGCCCTCAGTTAGGGATATGATTAGCATATGTAAAACTGACTCTACCCAACAACCAAGTGGCATTTATCTGGAGAATGTAAGGCTTTTCAACACTCAAAAATTAATGTGTTAAACCTAAGAAAAAGCACACAATTACATCAATAAACAGAAAAAAAATACTTGAGCAAATACAACATCCATTCAAGATTTTAAAAAAATAAAAAATTCTCCCCAAAGGAGGGAAAGGTTGAAATTTCCATAGTCTAATGAGGGCAGTTGATGCATAATGTAAGAGCTGACTCCTTAAGGACCAGGTGGCTTCCATCCAGCAGCACATAGGAAGTTGAGGCAAGTTGAGGCAAGGCCAGTAAGGCAAGCAGAGGGAATAAAAGCCCTACAGAACAGCAAGGGGAGAAGTAGTATATGGCGTTGCCACTGACACAGCTGTCCACAGCAATGGTTCTCCATTAGAGAGGATCTGTCCCCCGAAGAGCATTCGACATTGTCTGGAGACATTTTGTTGTCATATCTGGGGCTTTGAGGACTGTTCCTGGCATCTGGTATCAGGAGGCTAAGGATGCCAGGGAGCACTTCACAGTACCCATGTTTCAGTTCCCACTCCACCAGAAATACTCAAAAATGTAAGTGGACCTGAGGGGAAGAAATCCCATTCTACATAAAGACCACACCATCAAAGCTCCTAGAACTGAATTCAGCAAGTCAGGGAATAAAAGATCAATATCAATGGTGTTTCTGTACACTAGTTACATACTTTGTATACAACCAGAGATATGAAAAATCATGCTGTACGTGTGCAATATAAATTGTAATGCATTCTGCAGTCATATGTAACAAATTAGAATAAAAAAGAAAAAAGTTACAAATGAATTTTTAATTTATACTTCCTCTTCTTATCCTGTGGTATTTACTCTGCTATGGGATTGTAAAATGTGGTTAAAAATAACTTGTACTTAAAATGCTGGGTACTTTATTTATGCGTTTGCACTTTAATCTTCTGAATTTTACAAATAAAGAAAAAGACTTGGTGAAATATTTTCTTCAAGTCATGCTGTTCAAACTTTGGGGTGTGTATGTGTGCATGTGAGCGTGCACTAGGGATGGAATCCTAAGCTTCCCACATGCTTGGCGAGCATTCTCCCACTGAGCTACATTCCCAGCCCTCCAGTCACACTTAATTAGGGTTGACCCAAACTGAATTGAGGCATTTCAAACACTGAAAGCTTCTTATCTCACCTATATAATAATTACTGCAATGGTAACATCAACCGACAAGTCATAGTTTAAAAAAATTGTTCATAAACTCTTTTAAAAATGTTTTATTCATTATCACTAAGAAATTAGCAAGTTAATATCCATCCCTCGAAAAAGTACTTAAACAGTTTATACTTTATTTCCTACCTTTCCTTTCATGAACAAGATCTGGTCGCAGCAGTGCCATTGTCTTTCCTTCGTTCCTGCTTTTCATTAATTTAAAATCAGGAAAGAAAACATCAAGGAGCCTGGCAACATTAGTTGCATCATCTTCAATATCACAATACTGAGATATGTGTTGTCGATCCAGAAGTGCTTGTAAACTGTTGAAATACAAAACATTATTTAAGATTATTATAAACTAAACGAAGGAAGATGGTAGAATGTAGAAAGGTCTGTCACCCCACCCTAAAAGTAGAACTCTTTGGGTATTATAGAAACCCAGATTCCCAGCTGAGATCAATATCAACCCAGCCCTAAATGTGCAAGGATTTAATCACTCAAAAATACCTACTCCAAATAAAAGTCCAAAGTTCCATTTAGAGCTCGAACCCAGAACCCAGAACTTCCCAAATAGATCCGTGCACCACTTCCAACCAGGAAGAGCAGTGATCTGAGATGTCTAGCCAAAATCCCCCCAAAAGGTTCCAGTTCCATCCCCCTGCCCTGGAGAACAGAGAAGCTGAGAGCCATCTCAACCAGCTATACTTCCAAACTTCTCCAGCAAGAGGAGAGACTAAGATCAAAAAAGGAGGTTGGGTTTAACATCATCCAGTATTGGCTCTCACAAAGAGGCACACAGCCCAAGAAATAAAGGACTGGAAGACAGACAGTCTGGAATAGGATGTAGATACTCAACTTCAGCTACTTTAGCGGAAAAGTTTACACATTTTTAATTAAAAATTTTTCTTTAATCTTTTCCTTTTATTATTAATTATCACTATTAATATTTTGATTGTTCTGACTGTATTTGCTGATAGATTCAAGTATATACAATATACATGTATATACTTTTTTCTTTTCCCTTTTTCTATTTTATCATTTCTTTTCCTTTTATTAATCTTTTGCTATTTCATTATATTTGGTGTTTTGTTTTGAGGTAATTTTGGTTGAAATGGGGGGGGGCAATGACATTCTTCTGCTCTTCTCGTTTCTTTGCTTTATTATGCCTCTTCTCCTCACCTCTCCCTCTAATGGCAATATAACTTCTCTCTCTACTATTTCTCACTTCTTCCCTTTTTAGGGCCTCAGGCACTCCCTTGCTTTCACTTCCTTTCCTCCCACCCTTTGAATATTTCAATCTTCTAGTTGACTTCATTTCCCAACTTCTTTACTCCTAGTGAACTATATTTTTAACATTGTTATGGTTTGGGTGTCAAGTATTCCCTACACTAATGTGTGAGACAATGTAGGAATGTTCAGAGGTGAAATGATTGTAAGAGCCTTACCCCAATCAGTGATTTGATCTCCATATGGGAATAACTGAGTAGTAACCAAAGGCAGGTAGGATTGTGGCTGGAGGAGGTGGGTCACTGGAAGCCTGCCTTTGGGATATGCATTTGGTGAGGTGAGCTTAGACTCTCTGCTTCCTAATTATCATGTGAGCTGTTCCCCTCTGCCACACTCTTCCACCATGAAGGATGTTCTGCCTCACCATAAGCCCCAAGGAATGGAGCCAGCCGTCTATGGACTGGGAACTTTGAAACCGTGAGCCCCAAAATAAACTAAAATTTTCTTGTCAGGTCTTTTAGTCACAGCAGCAAAAAAGATGACTAAAGCAAACATCCTTTAAATCCATATGATTTATCCCTTTGGAGAATGGAATAACATCTTCAGAGGAAGCCACATGTTTTTTCCTATCATAGCAGCTTCCCAAGAGTGAATAAAAACAGAACCAGCAAATTGAATCCACAAAGCGGAGAAGAGCAAAGAACTCTTTCACTGGAAATCTGTGATCTAAGTTCTGGGATGAGGAGCCTGTCTCCTGGTTGACCCTTGGGAGATGCAGGTTGCATAAGCAAAAATAACTAAAATGGTTTCAGCACCATTATGGAAGCACAGATACTGGGGTTGAAAGCAGACCTCACATGGATCAGCAAGCTTTCCTTTATTCCACAGCAGGAGTCAATCAGTCAAGCTCTGGAGAGATACATTTTCTAGATAGAAAATGACAGCCAGTTATACAGGGGCTCTGAATTTTATAGGTTACAATGAGAGTGAATTAATCATTGAAGACTGAAGCAGAATATGTTGGTTTGGATAGTCAGGGAAAAAAAAACTGTAAAAAGTCCCAAACGTATTGTTACTGGAAAGGGATGAAAGCTCAGCACTGTTTACCTTCTTCCTCTGGGACCCACTGTTACCCAGAGCTTCACTATTTGCTTTTCTCCTTCCAGAACTCATCGGCCATGAGAAAGGGCATTTCAGTATCCCCCTCCTCCCTTTAGGACCCATTGTGGTTGGGAAAGGATGAATGTTAGCTTTTGGTAGAGGTGCTCAGGAAGGGATGAAAGTTTGCTTCCTTCACCTCCCACCTCCCACCCTAGTGGGGGGCATTGTTACTGGGAAAGGATTTACTGGGATTGACTTCTTCCTCCCTCTTCTTCCAGGACAGACAGTTTTTTGGGGGGAGGGGGTGTCATTTCCCTGTCCCGAGGTTGTCATTCTCCATATCCTTCAGGGTGGGGGATAATAACTGAGACCAATTAAAAGTAGACCAACTTTGGTGAGCCCTGAGTCATTTCTTACAAGTCTAAAAAGCACTGGAGGCTAGGCTGACACCTTCCAGTCCATTCCAGTCTCCTCTCCTCAGAACTTGCTTTGTGACTCCCAGAAACTGGAGGTCATTAGAGCCCTCCAGCCAAGAAGGGAGTGAAACCCTTCAGTGAAACTCTGCTTACACTTCTCCAACAATGTCGACTGCTTAAGGTCAGATCTACGAATAAACAGATGGCATAGTAATTGACACCCTCAAAATAAATCACCTCATTTTAAGAACCTGACCAAGAAACGTGCACACATACATACATAAATCAACTCCCAGAAAATGGTGGGGGGGAAATTAGTCCGCACTGTTCTAAGCCCAGAATGGAAGCAGTGGGAAATGAGCTGACCAAAGAACCAAATATAGTTTAAAAACAATTTTTCCTTTCCATATTATCGAATTGCTTAACCAATTCAAGAAAATCACTCCAATTTACCTCAGATTAGTGGACTACTGAAGAACATTGTTAATGAGCTTTTGAAAAAAAATATTTATTAGTATAAGGCATTGTTCTGAAGTGGCTGTAATTACTGGGATTAATCTTTTCTCAATGTGGTGTTAGAGACCAGACTTTGTAGTAGCAAGCTCAAATTGAGTGAAATGGTTGACAGGAAAAGGGAAGAACTGTGGAATGAAAATGCCCAAATAATGCTACGTACATATATGAGTATACTACATCGAATCCGTCTTTATATTTATCTATAAAGCATCAATTTAAAAATAAATAAACAGAAGGAAAACCAATAGAATAGAGGAAGTAGAGAAGGAGAGGGGAAAATGAAGGACTAGGGACTGATGTGGAGCAAATTATATTCCATGATTATGTCAAAATGAGCCCTACTATTATTTATAACTATAATGCACTAATAAAACCATTTAAAACTATTGTTTAGAAATTACTTTTAAACTTAAGAAATTAAAGTTCAAAAACTTTGCCAAAACTAAATGAAATTAAATAAAACAAAAATTGAATTTCATGTCAAGATAAGTTGTTTTTCCCTACTATATCCAAAAATATGGTATTTGTTCAACTTTGGATTGAATTACTCCAAAAAACAGTTATAACAACATCATCTGTCTTTGACTTTATGAGATGATAAGCATGGCTCAAGATAAAATGTTGTTAAGAAAAAAATTATATAAAAAGCATTTTAAAATTCTTTTTTATGAAGAGCTTTTCAGATAGTTTCTACTTTTCCTTTTAAGTTTGTTTAAGTTTGTCTTTGAAACAGGGGTTTTTAAAAAATATTTATTCTTAAGTTTTAGGTGGACCTAATATCTTTATTTTACATTTATGTGTTGCTGAGGATCATCCTCTGCATGCTAGGCGAGCACTCTACCACTGAACCACAACCCCAGCCCCAAAACAAGGGTTATTTAGAAACAAGATTTATACTTTCACATAGACATTTTTGATCATTTTTTCATTGTTTATTTCCAATTTCAATAGGTTATGATCAGCTAGAATGTATGGTAGAAATTAAAAATAATTTTTTTCTTAAAATTTTCTTTGTGAACAGAGAAAATTTATTTGAGGTAGGTAAGGTTATTCTATTTCACATTCCATATACTAAAGATCCTCTATTGTATATTGCTTGTAGAATGTGTGTTATTTGTTCTTCTCTGTCACTACCTCTTTCCAGCTACTAGCAGGTGTTTTTTTTATCAAGTTCTCCTTACTTTTCTGCTACTTTTTTTGTTATATACTTAGTAGTTATGTTGGCTGAGCTAAATTGTTTTGGTTACTATATCTTCACCAATTTTGTCTTCTCCATCATGTTAGTTTTTTTAGAACAAGTTGAAGCACTTTTAATAATCAACTTTAAAATTATTCCTAGCTATTTTTTACATCCTTTTATGTTCATTTTCTTTTGTATGTTTCTTCTAAATAGAATATAGATAGACGAGTGAGGTTGTTTATATTTTTAATTTTGAAAAAATTCAAATTGACCAAAAAGTTGCAAGTATAGAACAATGAACTTGCATTTATATTCAGTGTCTTATTCACCAACTGTTAACCTTTGCCACATCTGTTCTCTCCTTTCCCCATCCCAGCCAGCTGTGTGTATCTGCAGTCCAGGGAATGATTGTGACTGTGAGGTTTGCAGAGCCTTTGAGAGCAAGCTGCAGGTTCTCTAACCAAATACTTCAGGGAATTTATCACTGATATAAATCCATTATCTCACAAACAGTCCATATTCAAGTTTCATTAATTCCCCAATTTACTGCCTTAACGATAATAATGGTTTTTCTACTCCAGAATCATGCATTGTATGTAGCTATCCTTCTTCTCCTTTAATCTTGAACAATGCCTCAGCCTTTTTTGTTTCATGATATTGACATTTTGAAGAGTCCAGGCCTGACCTTCCTTTTGTATGGCTTCAAACTATAGGATGACCCAGTAGTTTGCAATTATATTCAGGTTATGAGTATCTGGCAGGGGTACAATCCAAGTGATCCTGTGACCTTCTTTGTGCATCACAAAAGGTATTACATGATGTTAGTTTTTACCATCGTTGGTGATATTTGCATGGTTAATATGGTCCCACCAACCCCTGA